CATTTCCCGTTTCCCCCCATTTTTCCCCCGTTTTTCCCCATTTTCCCATTTTCCCCCCGTTTTCCCCCCGTTTTTCCCCATTTCCCATTTCCCGTTTCCCCCCGTTTTTCCCCATTTCCCGTTTTCCCCCCGTTTTTCCCCATTTCCCATTTCCCATTCCCATTTCCCCCCGTTTTTCCCTATTCCCATTTCCCCCCGTTCCCGGCAGACGCGGAGCAGGCTCTGAAGAAGGAGGGGCTGCTGTCGCAGGACGGGAGCAGCCTGGAGGCGCTGCTGAGGACGGACCCTCTGGAGAAGCGCTCCCTGCCCGACCCCAGGATGGACGACGACAGCCTGGGAGAGTTCCCGGTCACCAACAGCCGCGCGCGGAAGGTGATCCCGGGATTCCGGGCTGGGAGACGGGAATTCCGGGCTGGGAGACGGGAATTCCGGGCTGGGAACCGGGAATTCCGGGCTGGGAGACGGGAATTCTGCACAGGGAACCGGGAATTCCGGGCTGGGAGACGGGAATTCTGCACCGGGAACCGGGAATTCCGGGCTGGGAGATGGGAATTCCGCACCGGGAACCGGGAATTCCGCACCGGGAACCGGGAATTCCGGGCTGGGAGACGGGAATTCTGCACCGGGAACCGGGAATTCTGCACTGGGAACTGGGAATTCCGGGCTGGGAGACGGGAATTCCGCACCGGGAACTGGGAATTCCACACCAGGAACCGGGAATTCTGGGATGGGAGCCGGGGATTCTGCACTGGGAACCGGGAATTCCACATGGGGAACCAGGAATTCCAACCAGGAACGGGGAATTCCGGGATGGGAACCGGGAATTCCGGGATGGGAACCGGGAATTCCGGGGCACAGACTCAGATTTCCCCCCCCTTTCTTGCTCTGGACGTGGATTTTTGGCTTTGGGATGGATTTAGTGGGAGAGGGAAGAACATTCCGGAGCCAAAAGGAGAGAATTTCTCAGTGTTTTCCCACTGTTTTTCCCATTTTTCCTGCTGGTTTTCCGGCTGTTTTCTGGCTGTTTTTCCCATTTTTCCCACTGTTTTTCCCATTTTTTCCCCTCTGTCTTTCCCGCTGTTTTTCCCATTTTTCCTGCTGTTTTTCCCACTGTTTTTCTGGCCGTTTTTCCCGCTGTTTTTCCTGCGATTTTTCCCTCCATTTTTCCCACCATTTTTCCCGCCGTTTTTCCCATTTTTCCCGCCGTTTTTCCCGCCGTTTTTCCCGCCATTTTTCCCGCCGTTTTTCCCACCATTTTTCCCGCCGTTTCCCCCATTAACCCCTTCCTCTCCTTCCCAGCGGATCCTGGAGCCGGACGATTTCCTGGACGATTTGGACGACGAGGATTACGAGGAGGACACGCCCAAGCGCCGAGGGAAGGGCAAGGCCAAGGTGAGACAATTCCAGGGAATTCCTGGAAAATCCCATCTCGGCGAGGGAAAAAACGGGATTCTCCTCCTTTTTCCCCAATTCCCGAGGATTTCTTGTGGCTCCCGGGCCCTTCCCACCGCCTGGAGCCGTCCTTGCCCCGCTCCCCATCCCGGTTTTTGCCTCAAATCCCGGATTTTTCCGCAGGGAAAAGGCGTGGGAGGCGCTCGGAAGAAGCTGGACGCCGCCATCCTGGAGGACCGGGACAAACCCTACGCGTGCGACAGTGAGTGCCGGGAGCATCCCGGAATTCCAGCCCCCAATTCCCTCCCTCCCCCGTGGAGTTTTCCCACCGGGAATAACCGGGAAACCACCGAGGCTTTAAACAGCAGGAAAAAAAAAAAAATAAACCAGGATAAAAAAAAACACAGGATAAAAAAAACCAGGAAAAACTTCCCAAAGTCCGGGCAATCCCCTCCCCTGGATCCCAGCGGTTTTCCAGTCGGATCCGAATCCCTGGGAGCCATTCCCAGCCCTCCCTTCCGGAGCGGGGACATCCGGGAGAGCCCCGGCAGCGGGAATTCCGTCCCTGCCGGCGCCGCGCGCGGGAACCCGCCGGGATAACGGGATCAGGGAAGCTTTTCCGCCTCCTTTTCCTCTCTTTTTTTTTTCCCCCCCCCAACCTCCTGTCCTGCCACTTCCCAGCACTAATTCTCCCCCCGGCTCCCTGAGCTCCAGCTTTTCCTGCCCTTTATTCCCGGATTTCCGTGTGTGTCCGTGTCCTCTCACGACTTCTCTTTCTGTGTTTCAGACAGTTACAAACAAAAGCATTCCTTGAAACCTCCCGACCGAGGTAGTTCCGCTCTCTCTCTGCTCGTTTTTCCTGCTTTTCCTCCTTTTTTTTTTCCCCCTTTCCCTTTTTCCCTCCTTTTCTTATTTCTTTTTTTTTTTTTTAATTTTTTTTCCACTCCCTATTCCCAAAAAAAAAAAATAATAATAATAATAATAATGAGAATTCCGATCTCCCCCTGCGGAGCCCCCGGGATGGGAGAGGGGGGAGGGAGAAGCCAAAAGGCCACGGGAGCGACGTCAGCCCCGCTCCGGCTCCCTGACGCTTTTCCAGCAGGGAATGAGGCCGGGAAAACAAAGATTTAAACCCCCCCCCGCGGAGCCCAGCGGCGGGAAAAACACGGAGCTTCCATCCGGATCCCGAATCCCGGGAAACGCCGCCGCCTCCGGAGCTCCCCCGCCTCCAAACCTCAGGGGTTCGGCCTTAAAAAAGGCCTGGAAAAATCGGGATGGGGATGGGGAATTTGGGATATTCCCGAGGTTCTTCTCCCTCAGCTCCGGGAGAATTCCAGAGTTGTCCCGGAGGATTTTTTTTGGGGGGGAAAAAAGTGATTTTGGAACACCGGGAATCCCTCTGGAATTGCTGGTTTTTTCCTCAGTGCTGCTCCAATCCCGTTTTCCCAAAAGATCCCAGAGCGATTCCCGTGGTTTTTATCCCAAAAATCCGGCGTGGGCAGCCGGAGCCGACCTCCCTTTGGAAGTTCAGCTTTCCCGCATCCAGCCGCTTCTTCCCTGATTTTTCCCCGCTCCGGGGAAGGATCCGGAGGTGGAAGCGGATCCGGGAATTTCCGTGGGGTTCCGGAAAAGCCCCAAAACCGGGGAATCTCATCCCAAAAGCGGCTCCTTCACGATTTAGGGAGAAAAGCAGGGAAAACACGTTGGGAAAGGTCTGGAATTCCGACTCCGGCGCTGCTTTTTTGGGATTTGATCCCAATTCCTCGGGTTGGGAAGGAGCCGGATCCGGGCTCGTCCCCAAAACGGGGCTGGAAAGGGATTTTGGGGTGTCCTTGGATAAGGAAAAATTCCCAAAAAAACCCCAAAAACCTGGAAAAGCAGCGCCAGGGAACTGGAGCCGATTCCCTGATCCACGGATGGAGGCAGAAATCTCCCAAATTCCGGGATGGGAAACGGGAAAAGCGATGGATTTTGGGGTTTGCAGGAGCCGGGATGGATCCGTGGCCGCGTCCAAATCCCTCCTTGGAACCCCAGAATTCCCGAATTTCCCCTTCCCTCGGTTTTTACCTCGGGATGGGAATTTTTGGGGTGGGAATTTCCTCTCCCCGACACATTCCCAATGGGAATTTTGCCATTGGATTGATTCCCGGGGAATTTACCTGGAATTCCTTTGGAATCCTGGGGAATTTACCTGGAATTTCTTTGGAATCCCAGGGAATTTACCTGGAATTCCTTGGGAATCCTGGAGAATTTACCTGGAATTCCTTTGGAATCCTGGGGAATTTACCTGGAATTCCTTTGGAATCCCGGGGAATTTACCTGGAATTCCTTTGGAATCCCGAGGAATTTACCTGGAATTCCTTTGGAATCCCAGGGAATTTACCTGGAATTCCTTTGGAATCCTGGGGAATTTACCTGGAATTCCTTTGGAATCCCGGGGAATTCACCTGGAATTCCTCTGGAATCCTGGGGAATTTACCTGGAATTCCTCATACCTGCAATTCCTTGGAGATCCTGGAACTTCAGCCTACAATTCCTTAGGGACCCCAGGGAATTCCTCTGGAATTCCTCAGGAATTCCGGGTGTTTTTACCCGATTCCCGCCGCTCTGGGCTCAGCAGGGATCTCTCCCAGCCCAGCTCCGGGATCAGCTCCGGAGGGGCCGGGATTTGGGATTTCCCTCCCCTGGCCGGTCCCTAAGCGGGATTTTTCCCGGGATTTTTCCGGGATTTTCCCCGGATTTTTCCCGGATTTCCTCGGCAGTCTGCGGGAAGCGCTACAAGAACCGCCCGGGGCTGAGCTACCACTACGCCCATTCCCACCTGGCCGAGGAGGAGGGCGACGACAAGGACGACTCCCAGCCCCCCACTCCCGTCTCCCAGCGCTCCGAGGAGCAGAAATGTGAGGGGGAAAAAACCCCGGGAAAACCTCGGGAATTGGGCTCGGGAAGGGCTGGGATCCCAGCCCTGATCCCAGCCCTGATCCCAGCTCGGCTTTTCCAGCCAAGAAAGGTCCCGATGGATTGGCGCTTCCCAACAATTACTGCGATTTCTGCCTGGGAGACTCCAAGATCAACAAGAAGACGGGACAGCCCGAGGAGCTGGTGTCCTGCTCCGACTGCGGCCGCTCCGGTGAGCGCGGGATGGGGCTGGGGGCGCCCAGGGCTTTCCTCGGGGGTTGGGGATCCTTGGGATCCTGGATCCAAGGGTTTCATCATGGATTGGGGGTGTTTGGGATCCTGGATCCAAGGGTTTCCTCATGGATTTGGGATCATGGATCATGGATCCAAGGGTTTCCTCGGGGATTGGGGGTCCTTGGGATCCTGGATCCAAGGGTTTCCTCGTGGATTGGGGCTGTTTGGGATCCTGGATCAAAGGGTTTCCTCATGGACTGGGGAGGATCTTTGGGATCCTGGATCCAAGGGTTTCCTCATGGATTGGGGAGGATCTTTGGGATCCTGGATCCAAGGGTTTCCTCAGGGATTTGGGATCATGGATCATGGATCCATGGGTGTGCTCCTGGATTTGGAGATCTTTGGGATCATGGATCCATGGGTTTCATCGTGGATTGGAGATCTTTGGGATCCTGGATCATGGATCCATGGGTTTGCTCATGGATTGGGGAGGATTTTTGGGATCATGGATCTATGGGTCCTCGGGGTCATGGATCCAAGGGTTTGCTCATGGATTGAGGATCTTTGGGATCGTGGATCCAAGGGTTTCCTCATGGATTTGGGATCATGGATCGTGGATCCAAGGGTTTGCTCATGGATTGGGGGTGTTTGGGATCCTGGATCCATGGGTTTGCTCATGGATTGGGGAGGATCTTTGGGATCGTGGATCCAAGGGTTTCCTCGTGGATTGGGGTGTTTGGGATGGATCCAAGGGTTTGCTCGTGGATTTGGGATCTTTGGGATCGTGGATCCAAGGGTTTGCTCGGGGATTGGGGGTGTTTGGGATCGTGGATCCAAGGGTTTCATCATGGATTTGGGATCTTTGGGATCGTGGATCCAAGGGTTTCCTCATGGATTTGGGATCTTTGGGATCGTGGATCCATGGGTTTCATCGTGGATTGGAGATCTTTGGGATCCTGGATCATGGATCCACGGTTTTGCTCCTGGATTTGGAGATCTTTGGGATCCTGGATCCAAGGGTTTGCTTATGGATTGGGGGTGTTTGGGATCGTGGATCCAAGGGTTTCCTCATGGATTGAGGATCTTTGGGATCATGGATCCAAGGGTTTCCTCATGGATTGAGGATCTTTGGGATCGTGGATCCAAGGGTTTCCTCATGGATTTGTGATCATGGATCGTGGATCCAAGGGTTTCCTCATGGATTGGGGATCTTTGGGATCGTGGATCCAAGGGTTTGCTCATGGATTGGGGTGTTTGGGATCGTGGATCCAGTGGCCGATGGATCAATGGGCAATGCTGGAATTGTCCGGAATGTCCGACCCCGCTGTTTTTATCCCGCCGGGAGAGGCGACCTCAGCCCTGCCCCGCCCAGGCCTGGCCCCTGTCCCTGCACGGCCCCACGTGGCCGGCCTGGCCTGTGTCCCCAATGTCCCCAATGTCCCCATGTCCCTGTGTCCCCAATGTCCCAATGTCCTCGTGTCCCTGTGTCCCCAGTGTCCCCAATGTCCCCAATGTCCCTGTGTCCCCAATGTCCTCATGTCCCTGTGTCCCCATGTCCCCAATGTCCTCATGTCCCTGTGTCCCCATGTCCCCAATGTCCTCATGTCCCTGTGTCCTGTGTCCCCAATGTCCCTGTGTTCTCAATGTCCCCATGTCCCTGTGTCCCCAATGTCCCTGTGTCCTGTGTCCCCATGTCCCTGTGTCCCCAGTGTCCCCAATGTCCCTGTGTCCCCAATGTCCTCATGTCCCTGTGTCCCCTGTGTCCCCAATGTCCTCATGTCCCTGTGTCCCCAATGTCCCCAATGTCCTCATGTCCCTGTGTCCTGTGTCCCCAATGTCCCTGTGTCCTGTCCTGTCCCCATGTCCCCAGTGATGTCCCTCCTGTCCTGTCCTGTGTCCCCCATGTCCCCAGATGTCCCCAGTGTCCCTGTGTCCCCATGTCCCTGTGTCCCCAATGTCCGCAGTGTCCCTGTGTCCTGTGTCCCCAATGTCCCTGTGTCCTGTGTCCTGTCCTGTGTCCCCATGTCCCCAGTGATGTCCCTCCTGTCCTGTCCTGTGTCCCTGGGGTGTCCCCGGGTGTCCCCAAGGTCCCTGGGGTGTCCCAAATGTCCCTGGGGTGTCCCTGGGGTGTCCCCAATGTCCCCAATGTCCCCAGGCCACCCGTCGTGCCTGCAGTTCACGCCGGTGATGATGGCAGCAGTGAAGACGTACCGCTGGCAGTGCATCGAGTGCAAGTGCTGCAACATCTGCGGCACCTCCGAGAACGACGTGAGAGCCCCAAAATCACCTGGGAGTGACCCAAAATCACCTGGGAGTGACCCAAAATCACCTGGGAATGGCCCAAAATCACCTGGGAGTGACCCAAAATCACCTGGGAGTGACCCAAAATCACCTGGGAGGGCACAAAATCACCTGGGAATGGCCCCAAAATCACCTGGGAGGGCACAAAATCACCTGGGAGTGACCCAAAATCACCTGGGAAGGCACAAAATCACCTGGGAGTGACCCAAAATCACCTGGGAGAGCCCCAAAATCACCTGGGAGGGCACAAAATCACCTGGGAGTGACCCCAAAATCACCTGGGAGTGACCCAAAATCACCTGGGAGAGACCCAAAATCACCTGGGAGTGACCCAAAATCACCTGGGAATGACCCAAAATCACCTGGGAGTGACCCAAAATCACCTGGGAATGGCCCAAAATCACCTGGGAAGGGCACAAAATCACCTGGGAGTGACCCAAAATCACCTGGGAGAGCCCCAAAATCACCTGGGAGAGCCCCAAAATCACCTGGGAATGGCCCAAAATCACCTGGGAATGGCCCAAAATCACCTGGGAATGGCCCAAAATCACCTGGGAGTGACCCAAAATCACCTGGGAGGGCACAAAATCACCTGGGAGTGACCCAAAATCACCTGGGAGTGACCCAAAATCACCTGGGAATGGCCCAAAATCACCTGGGAGTGACCCAAAATCACCTTGGAATGAACCCAAAATCACCTGGGAGTGGCCCAAAATCACCTGGGAATGGCCCAAAATCACCTGGGAATGGCCCAAAATCACCTGGGAATGGCCCAAACCGCACCTGGAACTTGGGAATGCCCCAGAATTCCCACTGGAGGCTCTTTTTTTTTTGGGAAAATTCTGGGGTTTTAGGAGCCCATATGAGCCTGGAAAGGTTTTACCCGGGAAAAATTTCATCCAAAATTGGGATTTTGGGGGAGGGAAAATCAGAACCTGCAGGATCCCAGAGCGGTTTTTGGGAGAAATCCTCGGTTTTTAATCATCCCTAAGAATCTTCCCGCGGGAGAGTTTTGCTTTTCCAGGAGATTTTGGAAAAAGGGGGTGGGAATTTTGGGATGATGGGAATGTCCCAGTGGGAATTTTGGGAATGTCCCAGTGGGAATTTTGGGATGATGGGAATGTCCCAGTGGGAATTTTGGGAATGTCCCAGTGGGAATTTTGGGATGATGGGGGTGTCCCAGTGGGAATTTTGGGATGATGGGAAATGTCCCAGTGGGAATTTTGGGATGATGGGAATGTCCCAGTGGGAATTTTGGGAATATCCCGGTGGGAATTTTGGGAATGTCCCGGTGGGAATTTTGGGATGATGGGAATATTCCAGTGGGAATTTTGGGAATGTCTCAGTGGGAATTTTGGGAATGTCCCGGTGGGAATTTTGGGATGATGGGAATGTCCCAGTGGGAATTTTGGGATGATGGGAATGTCCCAGTGGGAATTTTGGGAATGTCCCAGTGGGAATTTTGGGAATATCGGGAATGTCCCAGTGGGAATTTCAGGAATGTCCCGGTGGGAATTTTGGGAATGTCCCAGTGGGAATTTTGGGATGATGGGAATGTCCCAGTGGGAATTTTGGGAATGTCCCAGTGGGAATTTTGGGATGATGGGGGTGTCCCAGTGGGAATTTCGGGAATGTCCCAGTGGGAATTTTGGGAATGTCCCGGTGGGAATTTTGGGAATATCGGGAATGTCCCCGGGGCAGGATCAGCTGCTGTTCTGTGACGACTGCGACCGCGGGTACCACATGTACTGCCTGACCCCGCCCATGGCCGAGCCCCCCGAGGGTGAGTCCCGCCCTTCCCGGCCTCTGGAATTCCCAATCCCTCGGGATTCCATCCAAAAACACCCTCTGGAATTTCCAATCCCTCGGGATTCCATCCAAAAACACCCTCTGGAATTCCAGATCCCTCGGGATTTCACCCCAAACCTCCCCTGGAATTCCCAATTCCTTGGGATTCCATCCAAAACCTCCCCTGGAATTCCCAATCCCTCGGGATTCCATCCCAAACCTCCCCTGGAATTCCCAATCCCTCGGGATTTCACCCAAAACCTCCCCTGGAATTCCCAATCCCTCAGGATTTCACCCAAAAACACCCTCTGGAATTCCCAATCCCTCGGGATTCCATCCCAAACCTCCCCTGGAATTCCCAATCCCTCGGGATTCCATCCAAAAACACCCTCAGCAATTCCCAATTCCTCAGGATTTCACCCCAAAACCCTCCCCTGGAATTCCCAATCCCTCGGGATTCCATCCCAAACCTCCCCTGGAATTCCCAATCCCTCGGGATTCCATCCAAAAACTCCCCTGGAATTCCCAATCCCTCGGGATTTCACCCCAAAACCCCCCCAGGCTGGGAAACCTCGGGATTCCTCCTGCCTTTCCTTCCGGGATGTGGGGAGGGGTTTTATTGTCCCAAATCCTCCTCTTCCTCCTCTTCCTCCTCTTCCTCCTCTTCCTCCTCTTCCTCCTCTTCCTTTATTCTCCTTTTCTTCCTCCCTCCCTCCCTCCTTTCTTCCTCCTCTTCCTCCTCCTCTCCATCCTCTCCCTCCTTTCCTTTTCTCCTCTTCCTCCTCCTCTTCCTCCTTTTCTTCCTCTTTCTTCCCTCCCTCTTCCTCCTCCTCTTCCTTCCTCCACTTTCTTCTTCTCTTCTTCCTCCTCTCCCTCTTCATCCTCTCCCTCTTTCTCCTCCTCCTCTCCTTCCTCTTCCTTCTCTTCCTTCTTCTTCTCTCCCTCCTCCTCCTCCTCCTCTTCCTCCTCCTCTTCTTCTTTTCTTTCTCTCCTTCCTCTTCCTCCTCCTTTTCCTCTTCTCCCTCTTCCTCCTCCTCTTCCTCCCTCCTCTTCCTCCTCTCCATCCTCTCCCTCCTTTCCTTTTCTCCTCTTCCTCCTCCTCTTCCTCTTCTTCCTCCTTCTCTTCCTCTTTCTTCTCTCCCTCCTCTTCCTCCTCTCCCCCCTCTCCCTCCTCTTCCTCCCTCCTCTTCCTTCTTTATTCATTTCCTTCCTCCTCCTCCCCCTGCCCTGGGGCTGTTGTTGCTCCCGGGTGAGGATGAGGAGCTGAGGCCGAAGGCTGCTCCGGTTTTCCCGCAGGGAGCTGGAGCTGCCACCTCTGCCTGGACCTGCTCAAGGAGAAGGCATCGATTTACCAGAACCAGAACAGCTCCTGATCCTGCTCTTCCTCCTCCTCCTCATCCTCACCCCCTCAGCTTTGGGGCTTTTCCCCCTTTTTTTGGGTCATTTTCCCTCCTTTTTTCTTTTTTTTTTTCCCTTTTTTCTCTCCTTTTTTTCCCTTTTTATTTTCCTTTTTTTCCCTTTTTATTTTCCTTTTTTTCCCTTTTTATTTTCCTTTTTTTCCCTTTTTATTTTCCTTTTTTTCCCTTTTTATTTTCCTTTTTTCCCCCCTTTTATTTTCCTTTTTTCCCCTTTTTTTCCCCTTTTATTTTCCTTTTTTCCCCTTTCATTTTCCCCTTTTTTCCCTCTTTTTCCCCCTTTTTTCCCCTTTTTTTGTTTATTTTTTCTTTGATTCCCCTTTTTTTTTTCATTTTTCTCAGTTTGATCCCCTCATTCCCATTTTTTCCCTTTTTTTTTCCTTTTTCCACCTTTTTTCATCCTTTTATTTTTTATTTTTAATTCTTTTCCATTCCTTTTTTTCCCTTTTCCCAATTTTTTCCCAATTTTTTCCCGATTTTTTTTCCCCTCCTGACATTTTTTAGGGTGACCCCTCCCAGGGTGACATTTTTGGGGTGACTTTCATCCCTTCCCCCTCCCCCAATTCCCAGGATTTCACCCCAAATC